CCGCACCCAAAATATTTAGGTTTTTTATATTAAAATCAAGTCAACAACGACTCCTGGTGATACTGCAAAGGTTTATTTTGCAACAGCTCTCCATCAATTTTTGTATCCATACTTGTACTCTCCCACAGGGATGGCCAAAACTTATTTTTAACATTGCTGTGGGAGAGTACAAGTATGGATACAAAAATTGATGGAGAGATGTTGCAAAACAAACCTTTGCGGTATCACCAGGAGTCGTTGTTGACTTGATTTTAATATAAAAAACCTAAATATTTTGGGTGCGGAAAAAGAGCCTTATCTGCGCTCGTCCTTTCTGTACATGATAAAAATGAGTTAAAACGAATTTTTAATTCAGCTACAACAAGTTTCATTGACATACGATTTCGTTTATTGTCGTATAGATATCTACACTAGAAGAGAAGAGAAACTATATGCACCGATAAAGAAATAACAATTGGACTTCTAAGGTGACCAGTAGAAGAAAATATTAAATCTCAACCGAATTATTCACAATTTAGAATGCTAAAATGAATGAAATAAAACTGAAATAAAAAATGGCTAAAATCCGGAAAAACTTCAAAAATCCGGAATTTTTCCGGAACATCTGGCATCTCTGATCTTATGCCAGCCAAAATATTTAGTTTGCATAGAAGTAATCCCTACATTTAAAGCTCAATAGAAAGCAATCAAATAATGAGTGCTATAAAATCCAGAATGTTATGAATAGATGTGACTTGATCGTTTAGTAATACTAATTCTTCATTTTGTTTCCGTAGGTACATTTCTTGGTTATAGCTCGTTGAGAATAGCTGCGCAAATGCCCGAAAAGGCTCTATTCGTCACAGTTGAATCAAATCCAGAATCAGCTACTATTGCCCGTCGTATTCATGAACATGCTGGGGTTAGTAATCGAATTCATATTGTTGTCGAGCCGACTGATCAAGCTATTCCTCAACTGAAAAAGTTGTTCAACGTCGATTCTTTCGATTTCATCTTTATCGATCATACCAAAAATGCTTATCTACGTGATTTCAGACTACTGGAACAAGAAAGCTTGATAAAGTCTGGTACAGTGATTGTTGCTGATAATGTGGTGATACCGGGTGCACCTGATTATCTTAAATATGTTCGAAACTCATCGAACTACACTACTGAATTGCACAAAACAAAGCTTGAATATTCAAATTATATACCTGATGGTGTTGAAGTTTCGATGCGACTATGATCGTATGATTTACCATGGTGAACTTTTATGAAAAGCAATCTAGACGAGTCTCTACTTATCTAGCGTTAATCTGTAATCAATAAGTCAAGTCTGATTCTCACCCTACGCATTATATTATATTGTTTGAAAAAATAAATTGTTTACAATAAAGATTGTGATGATTTGATAACAATAGAAATCAATTTATCTAATCGAACAACTCAGTCTAGTTCATATTTAGTTTCACAATCTAAAGAATATTATTACAGAAAAGAAGCGTATCAATAATAAAACTGTCAGGACAAACAGTTTGACAGAATTGAAGCGCCATCAAAAAGTGATGCAACTATTTTGTTGTCAGTTGTCTATTTTCTTCTGGAGCTTATTGTAATATATTCTATCAGTAAAATTGATTAATGAAACCAAATTAAACTCCTTTCAAAACAAATATTATCAGTACTAATAAAAAAAATGCAAAGAAAACTATATACCAGTAAGCATCATATTGAATTGTGAAAAAAGATTTATTTCTTGATTAAATGAAAAAAAACAAGGTCGCTTACATAAATTCGTTCGCAATAATTGTATTTACTTTTTTTTCACTATTTTCTGGCATTATTTGAACGTATGGTGTAAAATCGGATAGTAACAGGAAAATTCCACGACTATTTATGTCATTGATAATTTCTGTTATCAATGAAACATCGGATAAGCCATTAAGATGTTGATACCAACTAGCACCACCATTATGACAAAATGATGCATGTCCAGGACAATCGCCAATCCATACTAAAATCTGTGCTGCACGTGAACTATTTTCCTTTGCCCGACCCAATTGCAATGCTTTATCTAATCCACCTGGAACATCCTCACATAGATCGGTATCACTCAAGGGCGGTTGGCTTGCAATTTTTGTTTGAACTGGTTCAAGATTAGGCGCTTGATGAAAATCAATCCAATCAAAACGACATGGCCCATTGCGATCGCGATAAGCCACAAATGCCACACGTAGAAAACTATCCTTGTCATAGTTTTCTTCTATTTCGTTTTGTATACCATCAGCAATAGCTTTAATATGTTGTTTGCCTGCTCCAATCCAAGATACCATGGAACCTGTGCAATCCATTAAAGAACAAACTTCCGCTGTTAGTGGCCTATTGTGAACATTGCTCGAAAATGTAAACTCAATTGTACCTTGTGCATCGATTGTAATCGCGTCAAAATATGTTTTCATTTGCTCATTGCAGACATCATCCGTCAATGAATATATTTAGTCATTTTCTCCACGAGCTATTAAGCTTTTATCTTCGTGATAGGAATCGTAAGGAGTTTGTCCGTCGCTTTGTTCATTCGACTAATTGATCAATGCATCGCAAAGTAAGCGTGGATTTTGGCCAACAATCCAATCGTTGAATGATAAACAAACACCATTCGATTCAAAACCTATACCAATGCCAAGAACAATAATTGAACGTTGTTCAGCATGAGCAATAATACGATGTATGAAGCTTCCACGTTTATCATAAACCATCAGTTAAAACAAAAATAAACATAGGTCCATGATTGTTGTTATGTGTCGATTGTTGTTTTAAGAATTCGGATGCGACAAAAACAGCATCATTTAATAAAGTTGTTTCGTCGTCGATTTTTAGCGCATTCAAAAGATGATGAAGAAATAATCGACCATAATTTTGTTTGTAACTTTTAATTAGTTCTATTTGTTTTCCAAATGTTAAAACATTGAAATCTTCAATACCGATTTTATTCAATGCAGCACATATTGAAAGTAACATATCAACTGATGAGAAATATGTCGGTCAAGTCATCGAAACAGACTGACCGATAAGCAGCGCAACACGATATTCTGGTTTGTGTGAACCGATTTGATTGAAATAAATTCGATTATATTGTCCTTGTGTACAAATGAATTTTACGATACCGGGAATGTATAAACGATTTCCTCGTGTATCTGGTAGCGATCCTGTTGGTTTTCTAAGCTGAAAGAATATAATCTTCCATACTTCGTACTAATTCACTAACATAATTTTCGAGTTGTTGTTCAATTTGTTGAAGAATTTTATCAGTATGAGAAATTATGCTATCATGGGTTTCTAAATTGGAATAACTCTTTTCGAGTGCTTCCATAATTGCGCCAAAACAAGCAACAAAAGTATTTGAGTCCGACGAAAAATCAATATCCATTTGTTGTTGAACTGTTTGTTGTTCGGATTTTCGTCGAAAATCATTTACATAGAATTGACCAGAATATGCAATATCAGGATGTGACCATAATTCAAGTTACTTTAAATCAGTCATATCATAAAATCATATTGGAAAGACTCATCGGCAGACTTAGAATGTATTGCATCAGGGGTGGATTTTCTGCATCCATCAGAGATCTGTGGAAATTATATTCAATATTTTCATTGCCAAAAAGAGCCTCAATCTGTTTCTATACGTATAAAAAAAACATTTTTTAAATAACTTATGCTACGTAGTTCATTCACTGTTTATCATCATCGCGTCTATTTTATAAGACGATCAGGTGGATAATGCCTGATCTCCAATTTATTTCTCATTTTTTTTTCATTTGCCATTGTAAAACGCTTGATGCGACACGCGACGTTAGCATCATGTATGAAAGCTTTTTGAAATAGAAAATATGAAATCATAATGGAAATTCCAAAAGCCTTGCGGAAACGAGAGCTAACAAAAATGATTCCTGTAGGACTCCAGCATCGATACCTTCACATTCTTGCAATACATTTTCAGCGGAGAAGTCACAACGCTAAATTTAGTTATTTTAACTTTGACCAAATGGTATGAAAACAATAAAGCAACGCTTCTTTCACAACAAAAGTTATCATCGTTTAGATACAAGAAGCCAAATGTATTAGACTCATTCTGTAAAAGCGCCCGTCGTACAATAATACCTTTGAAGGTAAATACTTATAAATCACAGTACGATATTCTTTTTATGTTGGTGAAAATACAACAAGTTTCGTATTCATTTTTTTCTGCCTCTTAAATAAAAAAAGAAATATTGGCTCATTTCCAGTTGGTAATATTTTGTGACAATTTTCTTCTTTTTCAACAAATAACACGAGTTTTATGACTTTTTGTGTCGCTCCTTTCGCAAACCAACACTTTCTTCTTCCTAGGTAATTACATCATGCGTTAAATATGTTGGGAGAAGTTTACGCCAGAGAATACTTGAAAAAGACCTACGCGTGCTATGAAGCGGGATACGCATAAAAGATCATGATTATGAAACAGGAAAAAATAGAAACTTCCGAGTTGTCGGCTTCTTCCGACTATCATGCGTCTAAGATTTTCATCTATAAAAACTGTATTTTTTTACATGGAACAGCTTTAAGCAGTCTTTTTAAAATTTTCACTCAGTCAAATAATCTTCAGCAGTAGAATCAATCAAATCGAGACTATGTTTGGGCGTCAGCAACTTCAGATTAAGAGAACTGGTATGATATTGTGTTCCTCTATTAATATAGTACTATTTTATACTTTCTGTGGTGTAGGTGTTACCACAACAGTTCCAAATAATGATGTAGCCAGGTGCATGTATTACTTGAAATGCGTTTGCACTACGGTTGAATGTGATGATGCTAATATTTTAAGATTCACTAATTATAATAATTATTGGGCATTGTCAGACGATGAAGATGAGATCGTATTCAAGCTTTGTTTAGCTCTCAGTCCGGATGTACTTGATGATAAGGTTTTCTTTCACAGCGATGCGCTATGTGGAGATTCAAACAATGAATTTTATGAATTCAGTCAAGTCCGTCATGTAATTACGGCTGTTCGATCAATTGTAATTGCTGGACGAACACGGCAAGTAAACAAAATTATGACTTACACATTGTCTTGGCTGCAAAATAATTATTTGGGTCCAATGAGACGCTTGGCAGATCGATTCAATCCCGAACGGAGATTGATTCGTGCAATGGCTGAAGCTGATTGTATCATTTCATAAATCTGACTGAGCTAAACATAAACATTTTGATACTATACTTAAACTAACAATGCTACTTGAATAAAATTCTGAAATATTCATGAACTTTCCATTCTTGTTAAATATAAAATAAAACAGTTTCGACAACAATTGGCAAACAAATGCAGCAATGAATATATTTTTATCATTTGACAGCTAAAACATGACCATATATTCGTGAATTTATCACAATTAAAACAATCCGCATCGAAGCGAGTGTGAGGGTGTTTATCATTGCTTTCTATACACCTAGAACTATCAGTACTAGTCGTATCTGAAACTACTAATGTGCGCCACTGTTCTGATCATATGAAAAGTCAATAACCAAACAAGTACCTTCGAATTCTTATTTGATCTTACCACGCATAAGAAATACATGATCTCGCAAATGAAGTAAAAAAATCGGACCATCAATATGAATCTTTTTCAATGCATATTTAATAATGAGTTTTATTGTTTAATCTACTAACAGTCATAATTAGGGGTGTTACTTTACTTTTTAAAGATAAATGAAACCTTTATATTTAAAAAATAAAGATAAATGAAAAATTTATATTTATAACGTAAAGATAACGATAATCTTTATCTTTATAAAATAAAGAAAAAGAAAAAGCAGCTTTATCTTTATTTAATAACAATAGAATAAAGAATAAAGAAAAATATTTTCCCTTAAAAACCCAAAATTTGGTCTTCTCCCGATAGCTCGAAGAAAATTAAGAAGCTCAAGGCTATCAAATTTTGAACACTAGATTTTTTCCATAAATGATTTATGCCTCATCGTCATTTGCTAGTATTATTTCATACTGCAATGTCAGTGATGATAAGCAAGAACTGCAATCAATGTTTTCTGTTGTTATACAAATTACTCATCTATTTACCAGTGACTGCAGAAAATCTTTCTTTTTTCTTTCTTTTAACTTTATTTTTACAAATAAAGATTATATTTATCTTTGTTTTATAAATATGAAGATTTTATTCATCTTTATTTTTTAAAGAATAAAGATTTCATAAATTCTTTATTCTTTATATTATAGATATAAAGATTTCATTTATCTGCATATTATAAATATGAAGGTTTTATTTATCTTTACTCTTTAATATAAAGATCAATAAAGATAAAGTAACATCCCTAATCATAATTCGATCCATATTAGTTCAAACTTACTAGACAATTATCGCTTCGAAATAAGTGCGAGTCATATAATGACATACGAAAACCATTGCAACGCACTTTCACATGACAAACATTCTCACACCCATGTTTTTGTAATTTCTTATATCGTTCAGGTAATTATACAAACAAAGGCAACACAGTATTATTCCTTGCAAATGCATTCAAAGAGTTGGATTCACACTGATTCCAGCCATGATTTTTCAAGTCACCTCCGCAAAGTACATAATAAAATACATATATGATTTTATCTTTTGTAATACAAAATGACTCATAAAACAATACAAATGAATAAATCAAAAGTCAGTCTTTCACAGGATCAACTGCTTTCTTCACTTAGCAAACCGTGTTGCATTTCTTCACTAATTCTTGACGCATTGGCTAGAAAGATTTGTGAAATTGGGACAAGGGCATCAGCAGCATCTATATCGCCTGTTTCAGAACGCATTCTCGTATCTAGTAGAATAATTAGAAGATGAAATTGAGCTATTCGTTCAAGTTGCTTTTGAAGTTGGTTTCTATGGAAAGCAGAATCATATCGAGTCCATATTGACATTTCTCTGTATTCTACCAAGGTTTCTTCTGTGTCACAATAAACATAGAATGATATTCGTGGGCACATGAGCTTTCGATAATTATAAATAAGATTAATCTTAGAGTCTGGCAAAAAAATATCAATTTGCCTAACAGTATTTTGATAATGTTCAAGTATAGTCATGGATTCCTCATATGTGCAACAGTGCCTAAAGAATATCGGATGTAGAAAATCTTGTTGATTTAAATCCTCCAATATATTGGGTAAACCAAGTAGAATCAATAATGATGAACAATCCATAAAATAGTTCGCGTGAGTTAATCCGAAATTTGCTTTGCCATCAGATTAAATTGATAGTTGATTGCGCCGAATTCGTTTGAGCGTAATCTAAAAATAAACCAGGAAAAAGTAATTACATAAAGACAGGGATATAAGATTCTGATGAGCAGATACGATTGAATGTATGTTTTTGTCCGAATATTGTTGCCATGAATTGTTCAACATATAGAACTTTTCATATTGATATGCTTATTTAGAACAAAACAGAGTACTCGATGTATATTCGAAGTTCTACTTCTCAATACTACGATTATATTGTTCCCGACATACTATCTCCTTTCGTTCTCAAGACTGGATTGCTAAGAGCATATGTTATGCTGGCAATTGATGATCAGCGAGTAATCTTTATTTTTCAAAGGAGCCTACCGGAATCAGGGATACCCGTACCAATGTAATTTTACCGAAAAATTGTCATATAGATTAACTTAGTATATGCCGAATGGCGTCTACACAACGAGGAGTGCATTTGTCACTAGATTAACAGCTTCGGATTTGCAGATATAACAATAACAGAGTAACTCAACATTCAGCATAAAATAGTCTTCCTCAAACTTATATCTGCGAAGCTACCAAAGTTTTAGGGTTTGATTACTTTCAATAATACTCCTCGTACCACAATTTGATGCTCCATATATTTTTTTTCTAATTTGCGACGTTTCAAAACAAGCAATTGCGTGAATCAAAATACCTATTTACTGAGAAACTCTGTTTGATGTCATTCGATGCATTGATTTCTTCCATGTGCTTCAGTTATAATAAAAAAATTAGCATTCTTTTCTTGAATAAGAATTAATAGTAAGACAATCGGAAAAATATTTTTTGGCTCTACGTTTCTCACAGATCTTGTATAAATCAAGCTGTATTAATTTTTATTCGATAACGATTTTCTCGCTCTAAATATGGGTGCTACTCACATGCAAGAATGCTGCTCATCATTGTATTATCAGTGTAACTTATTCGTTCATTTTAGAAATCAGCACATTAAAAAGATGTAAATAAAGGAATCTAACAGCTTCTGACAAAGTAATATTTCGTAACAGACTATATAATGAGACACAGCATTGCTCTTATTGGAACATCTGAAAGTCAGAAAAACGACAACAATAATCACATTGTGGTGTGATAAGAACTGATACAAGAATATTTCAACGTGATAATACGCTACTGATTAGCGAAGAAAGTAGTATGCGGTTCCTCAAATTTCTAAAAATTTATCAAAAATATTTTTCCTACCATCCTACACGAACCGAACTATTCAACATAAATGTTTAGGAAATTTTTCATTGCGATTAGTTTTCGGCTCCGACTGGTTCCTTTCATCTTATAGATCTGCGAAAAAACAAAAAAAACAATATACCGTGTTACTGGTTTTTAATCAAAGTGCAAAGACATTCATTAAGTTTTATAGATTTTTCATAGTACATGCGTGCGCGCTTTGAATCGCCATTGTCTTTGAAATACTCCGCAATTTTTTCACATTCGGTTGCATGATCCAGTATCCATTCGAGAACAAGTGCTGTTGTGCTGCTGGAGATATTTCGAATTTTTGGAAATCGTCTTAATACTGGCCCGTGATTTCGCTGTTCAGTTAATTTATCTTTACTCGAATCTAATGGATAAATATGTTCGACTGATTTTATTGATGATAATTCTTCAAATATATTAGTTTGATTTTGAATATTCGAAAAAATTACGATCGGACAATTATGTTGATTTTTATAATTTTCTAATTGGAAATTAGAAATGAACTCATTCGCACTGTTAAACAATAGCGGACGCTTGTTAAGTATCTGATTGAATAGTGCTTTTAGTTTGAATGCTTCACCATTCAATTCTATTGGGCAGTAAATGAAAATATTTTCGATTAGTTTATTTCTCGAATCACACGACAAATGGTCTTCGTTTGTTAATGAATGAATAATTAATTCCGATTCATTGATCATTGTTTCCGAATACGTTTGAAGTTCAGTTTCTTTATAGGATGACATTGAATTTCCGCGAAAAAAAAGCTTTTTAGCCCAATGAAAATAAATTAACGCTTGACGAAGATCATTAAGTGTATTTTGAGTAAATAATTTTTCACCAACTGTCATGTAATAGATAGCTATGTCTCGCGTTAGTGCATACAAAAGATCCGCTTCATGGTAATAGATTCGAAGATACTCTTCATATTCATATAACCATTCTTCAATTTTATCCATATAGATAAATATGTAAAATTTGATTGATATTTCATTTTGAGTCTTTTGAAATTCTTTTTCATGCTGTTTGTAAATGCGTAGAAAAAACTCCTCTCCAACATTATCAGGTAGAATAAGAAATATTTGCTTATATGCATTTAAGCATTCATCTACACAATTTAAACATTCTTCTTCATCAGTAAAGCATTTTAATTGGCAAGGACCTGGAAATCGATGTTGGTATATCGAATCTGTTGTATGCGAGTAAAATTCAATAGAATTCCGATCACATAGATTTATCGGACACGGATGAGTTGGATCGGTGGTAGTAGTAAAAACTTCTTTAAGATGAATACAATTGCCAGGAACACCAATATAAGGGTCCAACCATACAATAACGAGTTCATTGGATGGCATTTCAATCATGATTTTGTGAAACACGATCTGAAAGGAGTGTTGAAGTATATAGGGTAGAAATTTGGGGGGGCCCCCCCCCCCCCCCCCC